AAAAAAAAAAAAAATTCAATTTGGATTCAAATATATTTATGCAGATAGTGATGTATGAACATTTTCTACTATCTTTTTCATAATTACATCATATTCGTTTAGTTTTTATTCCTAGAATATCTAATGGTTTAAATAATATCATTTATTATATTAAATTATCGGTTTTACTCTCCGAATGCATGAATTTCGTTTTCATTAAAATAAATACATATATGCATATGCACAGATCTTATGGATATATATATATGTATATATTCAAAATGCTTGAAACAAATTACTATTTTGAACTTTTTCACGATGAGTTGTTTGACCAGGTTCTAAAGTTTCTATCGTTATTATAAAAAGCTTCATTATTTGTAATGGCACGCGGTTGTTGGCGGCTGCTTGCAAGAACAAAATTTAATTCACTTATTTACAAAATTGGTTTCTATTTTAAAATCAACCTTTTTTTGTTTTAATTTTGATTATATTCTACTAATAGAGTTTTATGAACGATTGGAGCGAACTGTTAAATAAACGGCAATTGTCAGTTTGCATTTTAAACCATAATAGAAACAAAAACAATTTTATTTGCACGCTTATGGGCAATTGCAACTGGGAAGTGCTACCAAGTTTTTATGCAATAATTTGGTGCCAGATTTTTAAAAATATTCCTCAATGTCCAGTATTCAGTAATGATAATGACAGTTGTTTAAATACGTTTTATGACGTGTTCGTAAATCATTGCAATTATGTCATATATTAATTTTTTTTTTATAAAATTAAAGTTATCCAGGGGCTTACACAAGGAATATGTTTCTATTGCGTTTAGAGAATTACAGAGTGTATTCTTAGTTGCCAAAATAATAATATTTTTATAGCCTACATCGCTTATGATGCAAAGGTATATTAAGTTTGGGCGGATGTATGCAACATCCAGAAGAACTTGAAATAGGTCCACCATTTATTATACGTATTGTTGCAGAAAAGCTTTCCAAATCCGTTCCAAGTTTATCTATCCGTCCATTGGAATTGTTTTGTTGTATTCAACCTACAGATCGCAGACAAGTATGAACGCTATCGACAGTAGTTAGGATCGAAGCTCTTTTTCGACCACTTTCCATATAAAGCCTTATTTCCCAAGTGTTTTATTATTTTCTTTTCCGTGTTTCTATGACTTTTTATATGATATTTTCTTGAACAAGGCAAAGTATTTTTTCATTATGAATTTTTTGGGACACAACGAACAAAAACAAGATCAATTTTACTTGTGAATTTTTGTGTGGGAAAATACCTCTGTTTGATATGAATATAAATAAGTTATTTTGGTTTTTGAATTGTTTGTCGGGCTCCGTTCAAAACTCATCGAACGGTTTGTTTCATTCGGGTGATTTTTGATTTGGATTCATTGCATGCATGAGATTTTTAATAAACACAAGGCATAGGGTATGACTGAAGCTGAAACTTCTGAAATCTAATACCGTATTGTCTTGGGTTTCCTTGAGATGGAGGTGAACCTCTTTCTATCTCTTTCTCTCTGTTTAAATACTAAATAAACTAAATATCTGAATCGACTGAAACAACAATCACTGCAAAACACAAACATCGCGAACATGTTAGTTTGACTAGATCGAGGGATGAGGGACATATTCATTTGTCAAAATGTGCACAACATTCAGAAGGAAGCATCAGAAGCCTTGTAAAGAATATATGTATGCTTGAATCAGCATCAAATTCTACCGTTCCGTTAATTCCCTCGTGACGCCTTACTTTGAAAAAAATTCCAATTTTTCAATAAAAATCGCTAAGTAGTAAAATTTCGCCATTTTAAATTGAGGTGGAAAATTTGGATCGGATGCATCAAGTTTTTGAACCCTCCCATATATAAACATTTCTACGAAACAACTAAGCCTTCTACCAAATTTAGAACGTGTTCTTTGCCTTCACCAAATTTAGAACGTGTAGGTCTGTTTTTCAGACCCCCCGCCATACAAACGTTTTAATGAACGGTAAGCATTTATTTGGCCAGAATTTATCACAGGCCATGGTGGAAATTAGTCCGGAACAGCAATAGCATGAAAATTAACTTTATAAAATTTCAGGGACAAGGATCGTTCATTCTATAACCCAAAGAGTATAAAAAATCCTCATGAAATATAAGTTTCATGTTGCAAAAATTTCGAATTTTCAATATTTTATGCTAAAAATTGATCAATAGCAGTAATTTGGCAAATAAAGTAACCCTAAAAAATGTTGATTTCATAGGTCCACTTAATTTGCATTTGATCCCATATAAGAGCTTGCATGAAAATCATGCTTGCACATATATAAGCTTTGATATATTAATACAAAAAGCCGAACCGGTGTACGGGTAATTAGTTATCGGCCTTGGCTGACTGGTTAGGCATAGTTTCTAAAGTAAGTTTTTGTGTTGCCCGCACTGTGCGTCTGTGTTACGAGTAAAATGGTTTAAAAATTCGAGATGTTTGTCTTTGCTTCAGTTTAAAAGATTTAAAACAGTTGATGTCTCAGCTATAAATAGCATTGCCAGACTTAAAATACAGTGAATACTGCCAACAGATGTTATGTTATTCATTTGGTTTTTGTCCGAAGTGCTTCTCGGCTTATGTCTAATAAAAAAATTGTTTATATGAAAAATGAAGAAACATTTCAACAGATCGGTTAACTTAACCGTTGAGTATCCTACATGATTTTATATGTATTTGCTTAAAATATTTCAAAATTTATATAATAATACTCGCATTTAATACTCTCACTTAAAAATTCTGTATAAGATAAGATAATTGAATAAATCATCAAAGACTCTTAGCTATAAAGTGTTACAATATAGGCGTTTATGAAAGTTGTTCTTTGCTTCTAGCACCTATATATATCCGGAAAGGTTCTATATATAATATATAATTAGCATTATTCGTATGTGTCCGCGCGTCCATTTGTTTTTGGAAGCCGTTTTACTGCCAAAAATGAGATAGAAGTCATATATAGTAAGTAGATGACGAACTTTGTTGGTGCTTGGCTGCTAGAAAGAGTACTCATGTTGAATTGAATGTTATTTTGCTATCTAAGCTTCCTATTTTAAAGTAAAATACTAACGTTTCCCGCAAATGTTGTTTTTTAATGACCGGAAAAGATAAATTTTGAAAAAAAATATACTTCAAGAACCATGTGAAAAGAATTGAAATTTCTTCCCCACGTAGACTTCATTGGTCTTGCAAATATATGTAATAAATAAATGAGCGAATGAGTAACTGTTTATTGATCGAGTGCAATTAAGTAATTTAACTTAAACCTTCACAAGTAATATGCGAAAGTCGGAAGTTATATTGACTAAATAATCCATTAGAGAAAACAATTGAGAAAATGTTTAGATTTTACGGTAAATATATCATTTGACTTTCATAAGTTAATTACAAAATTTTCGGAATGAATGAAAATGCCAATCAATGAATACGAATTACAAGTAAGTTAATGTTGCGAACGTTTTCGCAAATTCCAATTTTGTTTACATTTGCCCTGCACATGCAATTGTTTACATTTGCAGAGTAACTTCATATGCATTCGTTGTTGTTGTAAAATTCAATTTTCTTTGCATTTTACAGAGAGTACAATTTGATAGCATTTGCGTCGGCTTGTTTACGGGAACTTATTCTGTGACTAAACACTGTTTTACGGGTGTTTTTTGGGCTTTTTCGAGTTGTTTCGAGTTGTGCGTATGTCACGATTCAAGATATAGTCTGACTTATGCCTTGGCTTCTAATAATTTTGGAACAAGTGGCTAACACCTTGTGTACCTGTTGCCGTTTAAGCTCGTTCTTAGTGCTCAGAAATAATTAGCTTCTTTTTTTTCATCATTTTGAAAATACAAAAAATTTTTAGCAAATCTTTCAAGGAATTAGGATGCATGTACTCATTGAATGGCATGATATGTTAAAATGAGTTAATGTAACTTTTGGGTGGCCGGGGGGAAGGGAGTTCGTAGAAAGGAGCAGGAAAAATAAAGGATTTCAGAATTCCCTCATTCCTTTCGATCGTTCCTTTCGTCTATAATAACATAGTTTGTAATTTCATTTAACAATAGTTCAATTATATCATGAGAGAATATATAAATTTAAAGGAGAAATAATTATACAATAAAAATGAAACTGCAAAAACCAAAAAAAAAAAAACAAAAAAAAAAAAAAACCGAAAAAAAAAAAAAAAGCAAAAAAAAATGAAAAAAAAAAAACAAAAAAAAAAAAAAAAAAAAAAACAAACTCAAATGCCAAGACACAAGGTTAAAAACTTGAAATTGCATTCATGGGCTTTGGTTTAAAAATGATCGCAAATGCGATCAAAATTTATGTACATACATAGAGAGCATGCGAAAACTTACAACGTTGTAAAATTCCGTAAATGGCCGCATAAAACCGTAAAGTGATGCATAAAAACGTATTATTTTCATATATAAAATATATTTCATAGGTGTATGCAAAAATTTTGCAATAAGTATTAACAACAAATGTTATCGATAGCATGCGAGGCCCACACACAAACGCACATACATATATATATATATATTGTTGTGCGATCGCGCGTACATATCAAAATGTATATAGAT